AAATGTGAAACTCTGTCTTCACTTTCACTTAAAGGGTTTTGCAAGCTTGTGATTGAGATTTTAATTTCCTCTATATCTCTTTGACTCTGCTTCATGCAATCTATTTCTTTCCTGTATTGCTCATTCAAGGAATCCTTCATTTTTCTAATCTCCTCTATTTTTTCATCAATGTCTTCTTTAGAAGCCCTTACAAATTCTTTTACTGCAGTGTTTTTTTCAGATTGGGTCTACTCCCTGTGTTTCTGTAGTTGCTTCTTTACTTCATCTGCTATGAGTTCTGCGAATTCTTTTTTTATTTTAGAAAAGAATTACGCTCTGAGTTCCTCTATATCTTTCTGCTATTGCTTATTTACTATCGACACTATTAATTCGTACATTTGAGCTGAGCTAGTAGAAAAGAATTCCCCTCTGGGATCCTCTATGACTTTCTGCTGTTGCTTATTTACTATCGATGTTATTAATTCATACATTTGAGCCGAGCTAGGGTCCTCTGCACTTTTTGTGAGTGATCATTGGGTTTCCTCCATATGTTTCTGCCTTTGATTCTTACTGCAGATCTTATTAATTCAGGGATTTCCTTTTTTATTTCTAATCTGAGTTCCTCAATACCTTTCTGCAGCTGTTTCTTTATTTCAGAAGCCGTTGATTCATTGCTTTCAGCTGTGTGATTCCCAGTTTGTTCTGTGTTAGTGTTCTTTGCACTTGTTATGGGTTGGCTTGGGATCTGAGATTGCATTTTGTTCATTCTCGTCATTTTGTGTAGCACTGTCTTCTGACCTTTGTTGTAGATCTTTGTTGTAGTTATAACCTTAGCACCTACTGATGTTCAGGCGCAGATGTACAAAGTTTTGATTTATCTAGCTGTGCCTGTCTTGGGTCTAGCTGCTGTGCTCAGCTCTTTCCTGTTGCTGCCCTTGGGGGTGAACCTGTTGTGCCCCTCTGGCAAGATGTTCTGCTCCTGGACTGGCTTGGTGGTTCTGACCCTATACTCTCTACAGGGATTGCAGCTGCAGGGTTTCACCCAGGCCTGTATGCCAGGCCTGAGCTGAGTCTGGAGGGGACAAGGTAGAGTAGGGGGGAGAGGCAGCTCTCCCACACACTCCCTGGGCCTGGGCTAGGACTCGATCTGGCAAAAATTTCCCGGAACATGGCAAAAATTTCTACTTGGCGGGCAGGGTTGGGGGGTACTACGGAGTCAGTGAGGCATCCCAAGTGCGTGGAAGAGGGTCTCACCCACGCTGCGCCTGGGCTGGGACCAGTAGGTCCTGGTGGCGTAGGGTAGCTGGAAGCTCTCCCACACACTCACTGGGCCTAGGCTAGGATTCCACGTACAGTATTTAAATGACAATGGAATACCCTTCCCTGAGAAAACTAAATAAAAAAGGATTATAAAAATGAAGGACCATTGTGTATCTGTAGATTCAAAATAGTTAGGATAGATACATAGCTGCATTGTCTTGTATCATTGAATAGAGAAATGTGTTTTAATAATGTTTGTGGACAGGATATCATGTCTGCATCTTGTACAATGAATAACCACTAAGACAACAATATGCAGTGTATCTTTGAAACTGTGCTAGTAATTGGTTTTGAAACTGTTTCATTGCTATTTGTTTCTCAATCAAATTATTTTTCAAAAAGAAAAATGTCTCTAAAGGCACAGTGAATGCACTAATTTGAAATTCTCAGTTATTCAAAAGTGAGAAAACACTTGAATCAAAAGTCACACAGCACTGTCATCCTCACTTTCAGTTACTTTCACTGGGAGTGAAAGGAGGCAATGATAGGCCTTGAGTACAATCCAAAACTGCATTTTTAGCTTCACCCTGAAAACTGAGGCTACTTTCTATAGCTTTTCACAGCCTAGTGGCAATATCATCTTTAAAGGACACTGGACTTTTAGGTACTTATATGGCAGCAACTAAAACTAACATGTAAGACAAGCAAAGTTGGTATGGACCTAGGTGAGAGTGACATGGCAACAGCAACATAAATGAAGCTTCCAAAGGCAGAATTTTAAGGGCTGACCAAATAGCTTAGTGAATTAAAGCACTGGCAAGCAGGCTGAGGGACCTAGGGACCTGGGGTTTGATCCCTGTGCCTGCCCTGCCGGTCCCCCCTCAGGGTGTGCTGAGATGGCAATTGAGACTGGGCGTGGTGGCACCAGCCTATAATCCTAGCTTTTTGGAGGTTGTAAACAGGAGAATCACTATGAGTCTGATCTAGTAGTAAGACTCTGAACACCCTCTGGACGCTTTCCTAAAATACAGAAACAAATGCAGAGTTTTGTTGGAGAAAGGGAAGCAGTGTGATGTCAGATGCTTCATATAATATTTAAGATGTTAATGTCTTTTCTGTTTAATATTTATTTTCCTTCCTTACTTAAAGTTGTCCACACTCATGCTAGACTAAAAAAAACCAAAAAACCAAAAACCAAAAATGACTCTAAGAACAAAAAGAGAAAACGAAAAATAAAAAAAGTAAGCATTGTTTTTCTCATAATATTTTCTAAGCAAATTTTCATGTATCTACCATCACCACATTAAATTTGCTTGATTTGAAAAAGAAAAGAAAAGAAATAAAGCCAGGCATAGTAGCACATGTCTTCAGTCTTGGTGGCTGAACAAGGAGGATCACAAATCTGAGCCTAGCCCAAACAACTTAGTGAGACTCTGTTTCAAAGTAAAAAATAAAAAAGGGCTTAAGAATGTAGTTTTGTATAAAAGCCTTGGGTCTAATCCTCAGTAACATGAATGCAAAAAAGTAAAAATACTCCACAATCTTATATCCAGAGATAACTATATCCTTTCATCATTTTTTGAAGTAAAACTGTCTTAACATAGTTAAGATTATGATGAAACTGAAAACGTAGGTTTGTAGTTTGTTTTTCTCTGGTATGACTAAATTGCCAAGGAACAGCCTCACTAATCTTTTGGATTCATTCTGTTAGTCAACAAGTATGTACATATGTCAGTATAAATGTAGCATATATTATAGCATATACAGTATTTAAGGCACTATGTTGTCTGCTTCCAGGAAGGTTGCTTTTATTTTGTATTTATTTTTTAAATTTTTATTTTATTTTTGATACAGGGTCTAACTATGCAACTTGTACTCATTGTAATCCTCCTGTTTCAGCCTCTCTAGTGCTAGGGTTACAGGCATGTACCACCATTCCTGGTTGTGGGGCCAGCCAGGCACGCCTGAGATTCCAGGGCTGGCAAGGTAGTACAGGGGATTGAACTCGGGACCTTGCAATTGCCAGGTAGGCACTTATGCCACCGAGCTATCATCCCAGGCCAGGTTTATTTATTTATTTTTTTGAGGGTACAAAAGTCAACTATAATATAGAACAGAATGTTCATGTACTCAATTTCAGACAAAGAAACTGTCTGAATTGTATGAACTTTGTTTGACAAGGTTTGTTTGTTTGTAGATCGCTCTCTTTGGTGCCAAGACTATTGGCCGAAGTCCTGATGAACCAGTACTGAGCAAAGCTGAATTTGTTGAGAAAGTTCGTCAGAGTAACCAGGCCTGTCATGATGGAGATTTCCACACAGCTATTGTTCTGTATAATGAAGCCCTGGCTGTTGACCCTCAGAACTGCATCTTGTACAGCAATAGATCTGCAGCCTACATGAAAATCCAGCAGTATGACAAAGCACTGGATGATGCAATCAAAGCCCGCCTTCTCAATCCCAAATGGCCAAAGGTAGAAATTTTGTCGACTTTCATGGAATCTTTTGTGCTGATTCCTTATTGTAGTATACCACTCCACTGATTCAGCACCATTACTAAAATAATAATCAGTACTTAAGCAAAATGTGGAATGACTTTGTTGAATTTATATACCAATGACTTCCTTTTTAATGTTTTGGATGTATGCTTACTCTGTTTAAGTTTAGTTCTTTTCCTGTATACTTGAGATTTTGTTTTTTTCTCAGCCTCTTTGTAGGGCATATTCTAGTTAGTTAGGTTTTGGACATCCCTTTTTTTGTACAGATGTTTTAGATGGAGGATAATGATCATGTTTCTGTCTTTCAATTTAAAATTACATATTTATTGTATCAATACCTATTTGTTTTCAGAATGTAAATAGGGAAATTTTATTTTTTAATTTAAAATTTAATTTTTAATTTAAAATTTATTTTTTAATTATCTGTTTCCTTGAATATTGCAAGCTTTGAGTTGTTTTTGTTTTGTTCATACAGGTGCTTCTCAACTTTCTTAAGGTTATGTCATAGTGAAGTATCTTAAGTTGAAATAGCTTAAGTCAAACAGTACTATGTAGTGAGTTCAAGGCCAGTTTGAATTACATAGTGAGACCCTGTCTCAGAAAACCAAAAACCAAAACCAAAAACATCCAGAGCAAATCCCCTCAAAACCACAAACAAAAAACTGCACTTAATACACCTAACCTGCACAATATTGCTTAGCTTACCTTAAACATGCTCGGAACATGTATGTTGACCTATGGTTTGACATAATTATCTAATACAAAGCTTATTTTGTAATAAAATATTGAATATCTCATGGATTTATTGTATTTCTATCGCCAAAAACCACTGGCAAGATAGCAATTGTACAGGATACTACAGGAGGTTATATATCCTCATGATTGTGTGCGTTATAGGGACTAGGGCTTGTTACCAATGCTTAGCATTTCAGCTATATCTACTATACATTGTTAGCCTGTGAAAAAGATAAAAATTCAAAATTTAAAATGCTTATAACAAAATATATATAACTTTTGGATTATTAGAAAGTAAAAAAAAAATCCTAATTTGGACCATTGTAAGTCAGGACCATCTGTATCATTTAACCATATGTATGTGAAGCTACTACTGTATTCTCTATTTTATTTCATTGATAATATATATCTATTCTTACACCTTAACCATAATACCTTAATTATGCAGACTTACAGTAAGTCCTCCAACCTTGTTTTTTTCTAAGTTGTTTTTGCTATTTTTTGTTTTCATTTCCATGTAAGTTGTAGAATCAGATACTCAAAAAGCCTGCTGGGAAGTTAAGATGATTTCATTAAATTTTTAAATTTCCATTAAATTTTTAGACCAATTTGGAGAGCTTGTCATCTTAACATTATTGAACCTTTCAATGTGGAACATGATATACCTTTCCCTTTTATTAGGACTTTAAACTTTTTTTATGGAAAGTTTTCTGTGGTTTCCAGTGTTGCATATTTCTTTGTTTTAAATTTATTCGAAATGGTTTTTTTTTATTTGTTTTTTGTTTTGGTGGAACCGGGGATTGAACTCAGGTCTTTGCACTTGCCATGGAAGCGCTTATTCCACTGAGCCATCTCCCCGGCCCCTGCTTTTGTTTTTTGAGACCCGGTCTCACTATGTCATCCAGATAGGCTTTGACTTCCTGGACTCTGGACTCAAGCCATCTTCTTCTAAGTAGCTAAGACTGTAGGTGTGTATCATTGAGACTGGCATGAGATTTAAAAAATGCTGTAATAAATGGAGTAAAAATTTTTTAGTTTTCTAATATTTTGTTGTGAATTTATATTAGTACAACATTTTTATACTTTGGGTTATGTGACTGTGATAATTTAAGAGTTATGTGACTGTGATAATTTAAGAGTTGGGTTTTGGTAGTACTGGGGATTAAACCCAGAACCTTGAATATGCTAGCTATATCACCAGCCACCCTCCACTTAGCACTCATCCTTTTGTTTTTGGAGAAAGGTTCTTGCTAAGTTCCCAGACTGGCTTCTATTTTATTATTGCCCTGACTCAGCCTCTTGAATAGCTGGGATTACAAGCATGTACTATTTATTACAACTGGTTTTTTCTTTACACATTCATTAGGATTTTCTATGCCCACAATGATGTTGTCTGCAAGTAACTACAATTCTACTTTCTTCCCTTTTATTTATTTTTTCTTGGTCTCTTGAAGTGGTTAGCATATGTAGTACAATGTTGAACGGAAGTGGCAAGAGTGAACTTCATTTAGTCATTCCTAATCTTAATGGGAAAGCATTAAGTTTTTCATTGTTGATGATGATGACTTTAGTCAGATCGAAGTAGGTTCCTTTCAATTACTATTATGAGTGGTAGCTGAATCAAACTTAGAATCACACAGACATGGATTAATGTCCAACTCTTGTAGTTAATGGACAAATGTTCTAAGAAAGTTATTTAATCTTTTATTAAGTATAAATGTTTGCTTTTATAAATTTAGGGCAATAATATATGTGATAGTATTAATTTGAACATAAAATAGATAATGACAAATAAAAGGATAAGGAGGAAACAAAGAAATGGGACAAAAACAAGTTCAAACCCAGAAGGGCAAACATTAAGTCCTGTAGCTCCATGTACAGCATCTGACACAATCTATGGCAATATGTGAACTCCCCATTTTTAACTTTTGCAATGGAAATATCTATCTTGTGCCATCGAACGTTGGAAGTGTTTAACTTTCTTTTCTTCTGTATGGAGGTTTAGAGCTAGGAGTTTGACTTAAATCTCAGAGGACACCTTGGACTTGGACTTTTCAGCAATGCTGAAAATGTTAGGACTTCAGTAACTCTTAGAGATGGGCTCAATGCCTTTTGCTTAAAGGAATGCACATGAGTCTTTGGGGGCCCAGGACCAAATGTTATGTTCTGTATCTAGATGCTCCCCCAAAGCCTATGGAGTCAGGGGGGCCGGGCTTTTCAGAGGCAGCCAAATCTGAAGTTGTGATTGATTCATGATCTATTGCTCAGATTAAGAATGTGGGTACAACACTTGCCCTAGGGTGAGTAGCTTGCATACAGTATAAGAAACAAATGATCTCTCTCTCTCTCTCTCTCTCTCTCTCTCTCTCTCTCTCTCTCCCTCCCTCCCTCCCTCCCTCCCCTTTTGCTGTCTTCACCATTGTGAGCTGATGTCCTTTGCCATGTGCTGCCTGATTATGGATTGAAACCTCAACAAATTGAGCTAAATAAGCCAATTCTTCTTAAAAAAAGAAGGATAAGGGATTTCTGTGGTAAAAGGAGCTATTATATTTTATTCCTAGGTAAACCAAAGGGAAACATGAAAACCAGATATATTTTAATATTTTTTCCTTACATATATTAACTCTCTTGTCAGGTACAATTATTGATAAATAAGATATTTATGTTTGCATTCAAATACTAAACTTGGTGGCAGGTATTAAAACTTGCTGATAGATGGCCGTGATTCATCCTCATGTCTGACACTGACAAAATGATGTACAAAGGGCGGTACAGGGATACAGGATAAATCCTGAGAGTACTTGGTTGACCTTATCAGATACAAAAGTTACATTTCTTGTTATATAGGTCTTTCTATATCTTGGTCTTAACCATCCAGCAGGAAAGTATAAAAACGAGGTATATAAAGTAAATCCATATTAATATGTTGAGCTGTAAAAGGCTCAAGTCAATAACTTCTGAGGATAACCCACTAATATTATAGACTGCTAGAGTGTTAGATTGTTTAGTTGAATTCAAACACCTATAGT